AAATAAAACAAAAACAAGCAAAAGAAAAGCAAACAAGCAAAAAGACAAGCAATGGCCAGCGTTTGTTAGTCGCTCCATAGACTTCCCTGTTCTGCCAGCACATGTCATGGTTATACTCATGGAAGCACTCAGTGGCGTGTGGCTCGCTGCGGATGTGGGGGTTTTCATCCTGAAAGAGAGCGCCCCAGCAGGAGAGGGGCTGTGCAGTTGAAGGTTTGGGGAAATCTCTGGTGGCCTCTGGTGGAAGATAGCTGGAATTAGTAGGACATTCGCAATGTTAGAGTTACCTCCATATCAGCTCATGAGATGGAATTAAACTCAGCTGGTCACATCTCAAATAATGTTTAGGAATTTGAAAAAAAAAAAGCAAGAAGAGAAATTTAGAAGTCCAGACAATTGTTGGCCCCCATTGACTTCCATAGTATGGCTGCTTCCAATGGAAGTCAATGTGGAGCTGAAACTGTTTAGTTATTATTCATTATTCAAAATATCTTCCTTTGTTTTCAACAGATGAAAGAAACTCATACATGTTTGGAACAACTTTAGGGTGAGTAAATTATGACAGTTTTAATTTTGGGGTGAACTACGGCCTTTAAGCACATTTATTCCCGCTCATATCAGATAGATAGCCTATTTTCTCATCTAATTTGCCATGTTCAGTTATCAAGAAAATGTCCATCACTGTTATTTTCTGTATATTTATGTTTGTCAGTGTGGTTTAATTGTGTTCTCTTGTTCATAATTTACAATATAACGTAATTTATAAAGGTTTAGATGGTACTAGAGACCAACATAAAAACACTAGCCTCTGTTATATAGTGAGATATGGCACTGTACATGCTACTTGTTGATAATAAAGCATTATATTTAAAAAATCAAATAAAAAAGCCTGCGTCAGGCGCTGAGGCCACCGGAAGTGTTCGAGCCGCCATCACTGACTGACTGACAGCTGAAACCTGGACCTAAATCACCCGATTTGAAGCGCACCAGGATTAGTTTTTAAGATATGTGTATGGAAATTAATCGTTGCTTCAGATGTTATCTGCAATGTTTATGGTCTTTTTGGGCAGGGTAATAATAAATACTAAATTCTCTGTTACAGCTCAGAGAGTCCGGTCCGCGTGTTACATCAAACCTCGGCGGTCTCGTGCGTAAACACGGAAGAGTGTAACGTTACCGGAATCAATCTCATGTGTCACTGTATCACTGACTGAAGCCATGCTTCGCTTAACAGCGCTGCTCGTTGTGTTCCTCTGCTTGCATCAAGGTGAGTCTGTATTCCTCTAGTTATACTGTTAGATGGGGTTTGTGTGGCTGAGGGACGATATTATGTGTTTACATCTAAATCCCTCGTGCGCACTGTATTTGGAAATGAAAAGACAATCTCTACTATTATTCTACATGTTGTTGGCTAATTATTCAGCTAAAGTGCGACGCTTTCCCCACTTTTACAATGCGTGACAGGGGCCGAGGTGGTAAAGAGTGTGTGGATGAACCACATTCCTGCTTCAGAAATGTACTTAAATAGGAGTGACTTCCTGCTTCAAGTCGCCTTTGTTTACACGTTGCCACATATGCGTGTGTGTTCCCTGTTTACTGGATATTATCTTGCTAAATCAGTACAAATATGCAGACATATGAAAAATGAAAGTGAAAACCAACATGAAGTGTCCTAGTAAAGTGTTGGGGCCACCAGAAGAAATGAGATGCGCTCTGGCACTGATTCTGCAAGTCTGAGGAGCTCTTCTGGAGAAATGGGATACTATTCTTTCAAAAGATATTCCTTCATTTGGTGTTTTGATGATATTATAGGCTTAAACTGTGCGTTATGCCCAAGATTTGATTGTGATTTTTGTGGTATTTTCCAGTTTGCTCCAAAGCATTGCCAGGTAACGCTCTAGGAGAACCTCCTAAGCCACCGGACACAGATGAAGATACGGCTGTTTTGCAGATCACATCAGCAAATGGGCCAAAAAGTAATGACGCCAGCACATCAAAGATTGATGATCCTGTGAGCACAGTGGTTGAAACCCCAAATGAAGAAAAGACGACCACATCTGTCAGTAATAAAGTGGTTAAAACCCCTCAAATTATTAAAGCTAATCCTGATAGCGATAATAATGCTGCAAAAGATGGAAATAAACAAACCCTACCTTACCCCAATACAGCAGATAATGAAAACACAATCCCGGAAACTGTTACAAAAGATACAGATGTGTCAAACAATGAAGGAACTGGTGAAGACAAGCCGCCCACACTTGACCTAAATAAAAAAGACGATGACGCTGGTAAACCTGATGTAGGTGCACCAAAAGCAGGTGGTAGTGTTAAAGAGAAGACGACCGCAGAGGAACAAAATAAAGAAGATGGAGATGGTGGAGAAAACCCAACAGATGATAAAACGGGTCAAGAGGAGCATAAAGACGGTGGAGATGTACCAAGTGGTAAAAAAGGTGAAAAGCCAGCCACAGCTGACCAAAATGAGGTTGATAACAATAGTAACCCTGCACTTTCTGAAGAAGGTGGAGATGAAAAGGATGACAAGAGTGTAGAGAGGATGACCACACCTGAGAACCCTACAGAGTTTACTGAAACGGCTGAAGGTAAAGGTGCTGTTGAGCATGCTGCTGGTGAACCTTCAGATGAACAGGATACGTCTAACAGCAAAACAGGAAAGAATGGCGATAGCAAGCAAAATGTTCAATCAGAGAATGCAGAGAACAGCCACTTCTTTGCCTATCTGGTCTGTGCTGTTATACTGGTGGCTGTGCTGTATATCGCAAATCACAACAAGCGCAAGGTTAGTGGGTCCGTTTGTACACAGATTATGTGACCTTTTAATGAAAAGGTCTCCCCAAAACTTTTATTATTTGTAAAAAGACTGATAAAAAAAAGTTATATTTAAAAACTTAAATGTATTCTCACATATATTCAAGGTGTTCAAAGAAAAGATGTCATTATTATGATTATATGTCACTTTTTACTTGGTTATACCACATGAAATTTTGCGAAAATGTGGAATTTTAAATAATGCTAATATTCTTAATGTTAAAGGGGTCATATGATGCTGCCAAAAAAAACATTATTTGGTGTAATGAAATGTTTAAAGTTCAAAAAACACAAACTAGGCATTTGTTGCATCCAGTGGGGACATAATTACTGATTATAATGACTTATACTGTCTTTTTACGCGTTGAATTGCATCGCGCCGCGTAAACATAAAACCCTGTCTACATTTGTGATCGGAGAAATGACAAACAACAAGCGCTACTCTACACTGCCCAAAACTCGCATTTGAATCATCAGTGGCAACGAAAAACACAGCGGCCTACCGTGAGGGGAAGCCCCGGCTTAGCGTGCGCTGAGGCTGGGATAGAGTGAGCTGAGGCGGGCTGGACTCCGCTTTGTCCACGGTGAAAGTTGATGTATTTCCTCAGCGACCAGCACAGATCAGCTCCAGGCATGACGAAGCGGATATCAAACAAAGTAGTTTCGCTTTCATAACCAAGCACACAGCGTTTTCAGGACATGGCTGCAGCGTCAACAATACTACAGAGAGAATAAAAGTTATGCCTTCTTTCTTTGCGTGAACATTTGGGCGTTATGCAAATCTTCCCACATAGTGATGTAGATATGTGGGGGCGTGTTAGAACGAGCCGTTTTAGGTAGGTGTGGTTAACTCTTAACTTTTATAAAGAATATCTCTTTGGATTTGAGACTTTAGTCTTTGCAACTTTACAGATCTTCTTTATGCACCAAGAGCTTGTAACACTCCAAAGAGAAAGGAAAAATTGAAATCGCATCATATGACCCCTTTAATAAATGTTTTAAAAATATTGTGAAGCGAATGTTTTAAGCCATTTCCTTGTCTTTGTCATTTACACTCTTTATTTATCATTAACCCAAATGCGAGTTAAACTCGGCTATGGCAAGTAAATAAAAAGCTCCTCGCTCTTTGTTGAATGTAACCTAATTAGGAACGGCAATATAGTACGTGATTGAAATCATAAGAACAACACTGATTTCGCTTTTCTAACTATAGCCACTTTTCCACCATCAGGCCAAACCCTTCTCATTGCTTAAAGAGCAGGTCATATGGGTTTTTGAAAAATATCTCTTTTGCAGTTTATAGCGTAGCTATCCTTAAATGAAAACAATCTGCAAAGTTGTTAATCACGAAAGTAAATAAAGATATTGTCTCTCAAAAGAGTCACCCTTAACGAGTCGTCATATTTTCGAATCTTTTGCCTGTTACCGGTATACGTCACTGGGTAACACATTTGCATAATCCCGCCTGCTCGCGAGTCTGACCTGCCCAGGGCGCAGGTACGCATGCAGTGTGAGCGCGGAACAGATCCTATTTTGTGTGCGCTACTGTCATCATTACGACCGCAAACATATTCTATTACTACTACTACACTACACTTTTCAATAAATTTAATTCAATCAAGTATATTTAGGTTTATAATGGCTCTGGTTCTTACCTTATTGATGAACTGGAAATGTAGTTTGCGAGTAAAGCTGCAAATTATTTCATTAACCTCAGCTGTCTCCATAATAATTTTCAGATACATACAAGTGAAAATCAATGCACGGCATAAATTATAAATTAATTATTAATTATTCGGCAGAATATTAGCGAAAGTGGTTTTCTCCGTTATCTCATGCATGACGTAAGCGTGCTCCGGCCCGGAAAGTTTAGTGCAAGTGTGAGTGCAGGCCAGCGGGGGAGTGGGGAGGGGGGATAATCGCGCCCGGGCTCGGTTCAAGGCAACCGTGCCTAGTGCGAGTACACCCTTAAAACGTCTAATAAAGAAAACATCTATTGCCACTTTATTAAATTGTTACAGTTTCTGCCTCGGTGGAAATGTATAGACCAATCAATTGTCTTATATTTGAAATGAAATGATATTGTGTTCTGTATTCTGTTTTCCAGTGAGAAAATCCGGTCAGACGAGTCAGCGGTGGTGGAATCGAAATATTTGAACTGATTTTGAAACTTGAATTATCCATAATGAGGCATATATCACCACTCATAAACACTGCACAGCAACTGTCACTAATTCATCCAAAACGATATTAATGATGACAAATTCTCATCCATCCATAGCATGTCAGGTATGTTGAAGACGATGTCTATTGCAGCTCTAAAATTTCTGGGATGATCTTCATTTAGGTTTAGAGGTTTAGGTTTCTTCATTTAGAAATTCGCTGTAGACGTTGGTTCTGTAACCTCTCGTTCTATTTAATTACCAAGCCTTTTTTTGGTAGTTACGTGGTTTTCTTTGTTTTTTTTCCTTTTTTCAATTTATTGCTGGGCAAAATTGTGTAATACAGAAGAAAAATATATGCATGATATTATTAGTTTATGTTGGCTGCTTGAATGATGTTTTATGGGAGATTGGGAATGATTGAGTTTTGAATTGTTCTGAGCGCTGCTGTACCACTTGAAGCTGATCGCACACATTTATGGGACATGAAGTTATTTCTACAGGTGTGGACTAGAAAAGAAGCAGCAAGCATTTGTTCCTACGTTAAAGATGTTCTAAACCGTATGAATGCATCTTATCTGCTAAATCAGCTTTGAAGGGCTCAACAAAAAGAATTCTCATCCATCCATAGCATGTCAGGTATGTTGAAGACGATGTCTATTGCAGCTCTAAAATTTCTGGGATGATCTTCATTTAGGTTTAGAGCGTTACAAACTCATAATTGAAATTCGCTGTAGACGTTGGTTCTGTAACCTCTCGTTCTATTTAATTACCGAGCCTTTTTTTGGTAGTTACGTGGTTTTCTTTGTTTTTTTTCCTTTTTTCAATTTATTGCTGGGCAAAATTGTGTAATACAGAAGAAAAAGATATGCATGATATTATTAGTTTATGTTGGCTGCTTGAATGATGTTTTATGGGAGATTGGGAATGATTGAGTTTTGAATTGTTCTGAGCGCTGCTGTACCACTTGAAGCTGATCGCACACATTTATGGGACATGAAGTTATTTCTACAGGTGTGGACTAGAAAAGAAGCAGCAAGCTTTTGTTCCTACGTTAAAGATGTTCTAAACCGTATGAATGCATCTTATCTGCTAAATCAGCTTTGAAGGGCTCAACAAAAAGCGCGCCAATTGAAGAGCACTAAATGTCAGCATTAAAAAAAAAAAACTAAAATATAATAAGTGCTATAGTTTAGTAATGAACTGCATTCTGTCATTTGATAAAAAAAACCCGGATCTGATCATTAAAAACATCTGAACTGAATCCAGTGCAGCAATACAGACCTTACTTGCTGTCATAAAATAGTAACTTTTACTACAGTGTGGCTTACAAGTCTGAGATCGCCATCAAAATGTCTATATTTTGCATTATTTTCTCATTTATTAGTACATTCATTGTAACATAATATGTTGTTGTTGTTATTTAACGACAGCAACAAGTCGATTAATTCTACTACTACTACTACTAATAACAACAACAACAGAAATGATTTATTTAAGAATGCTTCCTGGGTTAATGACACTAAGTAAACAGTAAAAAGTTCATCAGTCACATATTAACTGACACACCTTGAATCTGATCGATCGGACTGTGAGTGTGAGCGTGAAACAGCAGCGGCTGTATTAACACCGCTGTGTTGCCAGGTCCGGGGTTTTCACGCGGAACGGGCTGCTTTTAACACTGTTGCCGCGGGTTGAAACGACCCTAATAACGTGATATTTAGCCCCTGGAATGCGAATTGTATTAAGGTAACAACGCCAAAAACACTTGTATTTTACCCCCCGGAACGGGACTTTTACCGGAGGACCCCCCACTGGGCGGGTTTAATTGTGAAGACCTGGCAACCCTGCACCAGAGTGAGCGCAGACTGATCTGAGAGCGGCTGTTAGTTTGCGTCACACTGAACGCGGAAGTGAGTGAGTGAGTGCTGGAGGAGATTACAGCGAGAAGGATGAGGCAGAGCCATATAACGCCGTTTCACTCGCCTTTATTCCCGTGAAATACAGTTAAAGGCGATGGACGAGTTTCCCCAGCTCATGTGATTGTGATCCGAAAGACAGAGACTGTCATTATTACCACGGTAAGACTCCATTATCTAACATTAGCCAGCTAGCTGCACATATTCATGAATAATCATCATGCATACCATAACAGTTCACATATTTAAAAAAAAAAAGAAAATCAATAAAGGCGGCCCCAGCTGTTGGTTATTTTGCGATATGATGCAAAATATTGTAAAGTGAGTTTTTAAAAGTGTTTGAAGCTGTAACACTTTATTCGGTCCAGCACAGTAAATAGTATTACTTGCTCACTACTTAGTAGTTAATATTATACTCACTTATGAAGTTTGCTACTGTACCTTTAAGACTTGTCTATGTAAACGAATGTGTCTTCATTAAGTTGATGTAGTTGCATAGTACATCTACTAAATTCTTTCATTCACAAGTGCAAGAGAAATGCAGTTTTGTCTGTGTCACAGGGTTGGAGGCGTAGACTGAGGACGCTGGCCGCATGATGTTGGACCACGCCGATGTGAGTTTGACCCCGGATGAACGGGTGCGGGCCTTGACCAAGAAGGGCATGGCTGTGGAGATGAATGAGGCAGTGCCCCTCCGCCGATACTTCCGCTCGGGCTTGGAGGTGATCCGCATGGCCCATGTGTACGCCGAGGAGGGCAACACAGAGCACGCCTTTGTCCTCTACAACAAATACATCACGTAAGAAGGCCTGAACACAGCTCTAGCTCAGTCTGTTGCATTTTAAAGGGACACTTCAACTGAAAAAATAAAGGCTCTTTTTTATCATTTACTGACCTTCATGTTGTTTCAAACCTGTGTGACTTTCTTGCTTGCATCTGTGGAACACACAAGATGCTTTGGCTCTAATGTTTGGTTCCCAACGTTCTTCAGAATGCATTCCTTTGTGTTTTCCGCAAAAGAAAGAAAGTCAAATGCGTTGGGAACAACATGGGAGTGAGTAAGTAATGACAGAATGGTCATTTCTGGGTGGAGTATCTCATTAACTTAAATGGGAGTCATCAGTTATGTGTGAGTAATATTGGTAATGTCCAGTTTACTTACAACAGGTTTAACTCTGGTTCTTTTTAACCCACCAGGCTTTTCATCGAAAAGCTCCCCAAGCATCCGGAATATAAGCTGTGTGGTATTCCTGAGAAGAAGGAGACTTTAAGGGTAACGTAGTCTAGTGAACTCGGCTAGATCGGTAATCTCGAATGATCATTATACCATGTTAGTTGCCTCAGTTTTGATGTTGTTCCTCACACAGAAGCTAAAGGAGACCGCCTTTCCTCAAGCAGAGCAGCTGAAGAAGCATTTACTGAGGAGATATGAGAAAGAATATGCTGAGTTTATCAGCAAAAAGGTGAGGCATTTTTTTCCAAAAAATGCCAAAATCCATTTTTTTTAAAGCGAAACTGATGAAACCTGTCAAGAACATGTGTTTTTTTTTATTCTCACATGTTTTCCATGACAATTTAACACATTTCCCAAATTCTTTTAACGGTAATACATTCAGACATTAGTTTTTCCCTAAATTCTAGTAATGTTATTGTAATTCCATAATGCTAGATATACAATATATTTTTATTACCACGAAAATCCCCAGAGCCTCCCAATCCCCAGTTACCATGATGAACATATATATGTATGTATGTAGTATTTGTTGCTCTGCCTTATGAAATAATAAAAAAATATTTATGATTTTTTTTTAAACAAAACATACTGTATTACTTTAATGAATATCCAATGAGACTATTGAGAGTCACAATACAAAAAAATTTATTTATTTATTAATTTTATTTTTTTTACCTTTTTTTCTTTTACAAAATAGTATTTGTCTAATAGTAATTTTCTATATGCATTACTGACGTGTTTGGTGTAATTCATTTCAAAGTTAAAGATGCACATGGCGTTTTCACCTTGGTCAGTCTTATGAGTGTGGTTCTGTCGTCTGCCAGCGTGCAGAAGCTCAAGCACTGGAGCGGGAGTTGTCTCGGCAGCGTGAGCTGGAGGCAGAGAGACACCGTGTGGCGAACATGCAGCGGAGGCAACTGGAGCAGGAGCAGTTCAGCAGGTTTGAGGAGATGATCCGGCAGCAGGACCGTCAGCACGAGTTCAACACACCAGCGCCTCACCAAGACGACGGACTGCTCATCCCTGGGATCCAGGGTCCCCCTTTGCCCTACCTAGAGTCCCCCACTCCCCCTCAGAGTCCACAGTACCACTCGGCCAATCACAGCACTCCGTCAGCTCCCAGCTCGGCTGCACCCCCGACTGTGGACCGCTCGCTTAAACCGGGTCACCTCAGCAACACCAGTACGGCTAGATCTCAAACCACACTAGACGTAGAGCAGCCTCTAGTTCTGTGTTATCAGGTTGTCACGGAGTTGTTCTTTGTGTTTCAGCTACATTGGTTGATGGTTTACGTCAGATTGCTGTTCCTGCTGAGCTTTGCAGCAAATTTCTGCGATTGGCCAATAACAACACCATAAGAGCAGTGGAAACCTGTGGGATACTCTGTGGGAGACTGGTATGACTTTGTGATAGAGCTGCACAATTAATCGTTAAAAGATCACGATCTCATTTCTAAATGACAACGATTCGCCTGTGTCTATTAAATCTTTGGGAAAAGTCATACTGGAACATTCAAATCTGTGTTGGCGCTGCCGCTGACACAAAAAGCAGTTACCATGTTTAGGTAAGAAACCGCTTCACAAACAGTCTTTTCAACCACAAAGTATTATTTCTGTATTACAATTATTCATATTATCACAGAAATACTGGGATGAAAGTTTATAGTTCAGATATAAACATCGACGTCTATGGTAGGTATCAAAATAAAGCAAATACAATTTTGAAAGTAACTGGTGCTTCAAATAACTGTGTCGATTACATTGTTTAGCCACCAGGTGTTGACAAGTGACTTCAATTTATTTGCCATTGAATCATTCATTCAAGAGATTCGTTCAAAAACACTGATTCATTCAGAAATGAAACAAGTGAAGTATTTATGAATGTCATTGAATCATTAATTCAAACCAATTTCTCATCATTTTAATATTAAAAATTGGTTTATTAAACATTGTATTTTAAATAAATATATATATATATATATATATATAGATATTCAATATTCAATAGCATTTAATAATGATAAAATTATTTTAAAAAAGCTCAATTAGGAAATAATCATATTGAAATGGCCATTTCCCTAAAGGTCCGTCAGTACAGTGTAGGCTGGGCTTCGTGCAAAACGTTTCGCTATCGATACCGATACCTTGACTTCGATACCAGTTCCTGAACGATACTTTTTCCAATACCAGTTTTATGAAATCCGTTTTAACAAGATTACATTACCTCAAACTTTGGTTTTATAAGGAACAAAAAAGCACTAAGGAACAAAATGTAACCAACACAATTAATCAGTGCAAATAGTTTTAATAAAGTTCAAATAGTTTTCAGTTTCCACACCTTTTAGGCTATGTTTACACTAGTACGTTTTCATTTCAAAACGCATTGCTCAGACAGAATCATCACTTCTATTCATTTTCCACTGATTTACTGATGAGCGTGAGCTGCTTCTAGCGCTGTCTCAGTCTGATTTCTCTTCTGCGATCACTGTCCTGAAGTCCATGATCTGTCAATCATTTTACGGGTTCATATTTCGCCCTGTCTCCTGTGACAAATGTCCATTCCCTTCTGCGTTCAGTTCTGTACATAAGAAACTAAGAAAAACATTTCTACGGATGAAACATGAAGCTAATAAACACACGATTACGGCAGTATATGATTAGTATGCGATTTTCATGAGATTCTGCCTATTTTCATAACAATACAGTGTGTTTACATGAGAAATGCTAAGCAGGTGTAGCGATGAGCTTGATATAAAAGGCTACAAATAGCATGCTTCAGCAACATTATATGACCAAAACCCTCATTAGATCGCAATCGGAGGTTATTACAAACACTCGATGGTGGTTTTAGAGTGAGTAAAAGCATAGTATAAATCTGATAAATTGTCTTATGTAGCATGGATGGAGATCTTTTCTGAAATGCAGTAGAAACAGCCGTTTGAATGTGGATCGTTTTCATTTTTAAATGCCGTTTTAAAATAAAAGCACACTAGTGTAAATGTAGCCTAATGCCCGCTTCAGACTACACGATTTTAGCCCGATTTTGCCACGATTTGCTTGACGTAGGGTGTCGTGGGGATTCGTAAACGACAATGGGCGTCGGGACGCAAGATTCCATCGTTTCAGCACGTGTAGTGTGTCATAGTGGACGACAGCCGATTCCGCGTCTGTGATGCTTCACGACAGAAAGACTAGCATGTTTAATTTTTTTTCTGTCGTCTACGACGAGTTCTGTCACATTGGTGACGTTGACCAATAGCAGCACAGAAGCTCTTTCATACACTGGTTTCAAACATGGCGAAACGAAAGAGAGATGATGGTGCTGCTAGGTGGAATTATGAGATGGAGGAAAGGTTTGTGGAGCTGTGGCAACAGTACTCCTGCCTGTATGATGTGTCATCAAGGGACTACCACGACAGAACAAAGAAAGAAATATGCTGGTGAACTATAGCGGAAGCGCTTCAGCAATGTTTACACTCTTGTTTTCGGAAGCCAGTCGCTAGTTCCGCCTTCTTGATGAATGGTCGGGAAGCAACGTGTAGTCTGACATGTTGCTTGTCCACGACACAACAAGATTTTAGGAGTCAAAATTGTGTAATCTGACACAGTGACTATCGTGACCGACAAAAATATTGTGTAGTCTGAACCCGGCATTACATCTATGGGGGTCAGGCCTCACGTATGAGTCACATCTCTGGGCGGAACCGGCATAAACTAGTGTTTTTACTTGAAGCTTCAAGCCTGCAGCACGCTTACTGACTCACTGACGTTCACAAGATTAACCCCTTAGGTATTGACATTTGGTACTGTATAACAGGAAAAATTTTCGATTCTCTATGGCAGTGGTTCCCAACCACATTCCTGCAGGCCCCCCAATACTGCACATTTTGCATGTCTCCTTAATCAAGCACACCTGATTCAGATCATCAGCTTATTAGCTGAGACTCCAAGACCAGAAATGGGTGTGTCAGATAAAGGAAACATGGTAAATGTGCAGTGTTGGGGGGCCTCCAGGAATGTGGTTGGGAACCACTGCTCTATGGCAGTGGTTCCCAACCCTGGTCCTGGAGGCACCCCGACACTGCATGTTTTGCATGTCTCCTTAATCAAACACACCTGATTCAGGTCATCATCTCATTAGTAGAGACTCCAAGACCTGAAACTGGAGTGTCAGAGAAAGGATACGTGCAGTGTTGGGGTGCCTCAAGGACCAGGGTTGGGAACTCTATGAGGCTCTATGGAATTGAGGCAATTCGGTCGGTGTCTTAAAAAGTATCAAACTGGATACCCAGCCCTAGTACAGTGGATGCATACTGTTGTCTTATTAGTCATTCAGATGTCACAGTCTCTCCGACTCACCCCACAGACTCACCCCACTCAGACGGCCTTCCTGTCCAGCGTTGACCTGCACACTCACTGCTCATACCAGATGATGCTGCCGGAGTCCATCGCCATCGTCTGCTCTCCCAAATTCAACGAGTAAGTCCAGCCGTGAGAGACATGACAGCAGTGACAGTTACAAGTGAGATGCTATGGCCCCAAAAACTATTTGGACACTTAATTCAAAGTTACACTTAACTTCAAAGTGTCTGAATCATTCATTAGTGAATCAGACAGATTTCAGCCCGAACTGTGTTATAGACACAAAACAGTGTTGAAGTCAGACCTCACTTGCTCACTGTAAGGTCCAGCATGGATAATAAGTTTATAGTTTGCTTGTTGATGATCTCTGAGGTGTTGTATTTCTGCTGTGCAATACAGTGCTTCTCAATCAGGGGGCCGGGATTCAAGCACACTACCAAGTTGACTTAAAATAATTGAAATAAGACCAAACAAGGTTTAAAATAAGCTAAAAATGGCTGTTGCTACAAATATACATTGCTGCTTTTGTGATCCAGGGTCACATATTATATTTTTTATTGAATAGCAAAAATGTTTAATTATGTCAAGCTCTAACATGTTTTAATGGGTTTATTGGAACGACTAGGAAGCTAACCGATTATGATTTTTAGAGCTCAAAAAGTTGTGGAGTTTATATTGAATATACTTTTTTTTTTTTTGTTATATCAAGTTCTAAAACATTTTATTGGATAGAAAATTCGGAGAAATTGCTGTTTGGGAGTAAACAAAACAAACAAAAAAACGTTATCACAAATGACTAAAAACTAGTTGATTGTCTGGGATTTCTAAAGCTGGAAAAGTCATGGAAATCAATAATCCTAAAAAGCCATGAGAATTTCTATATTGAGTGTGTGTGTATATATATATATATATA